CACCGTTTGAGAAGTGATTTTGTGAGTTTTTTTTATCTATTTTAGTCATAAAAAATAGAATAGGTTATTTTAGGTAATATTGTTTTTTCTATTTTTTTAGTATGTTTTCTTAGAAAAAGTAACAAAAATTTAAAAGGTTGATTTTTAACTAATTTTTTAAAACAATCCTTGGTAAATTATTTGTTATGGTTATTTATGTAATATTTTGGTCTAAATTTTTAAGCAAAGAACCGAAAGTGGTCGGTGACATTATATTTGTTCCATATGCACAGTATAAATTGTGAGTGTTTGGAAAGTTAGTTTTTATATAAGTTTTTTTATTCGTAGGATATTATTAGAGAAATTTTTTTTTGTGTTTGGAAAGAAAATTGGGTTTTTTTGTGACTGGATGTGATGTTTATGAGAGAAAAAGTGAAATAATTATTGAGTTAGATGTGATATTTTGTTTGAATGTATTTTTTTTAATTTTACAAAAAATTTGTTTTTTTTACGAAAAAAATCACTAAAAACCCAAGTTTCAAACTTCTCAAACACCATCAATTACTGTTTAGGTATAGTGGTAGGGAGTAATGGATTTTAGGGGTGCGCGTGGATGAAGGAGTGTTGTGTTCTTAGTGGCATCCGTAACTTTGATTTGATGGCCGTACTGTATGTTCAGACTTTATTTACTTGACTGGAAAACTCGTGGAGACTTTATTGCCCGTCTCCGCCTGCTGTCTTGTCTGGCTATGCTGTTCAATTCCTGTGCTGACTGGCTGTCAGTAGCAACCCATCAAACAGTTCCCGCATGCAATTTCTTTTCGTCTATAATGTAGGTTTATTTTGGAAAAAGAAAATGAGTCGAAGTTCTGCCTAACGGGTTGTTTGGGGTATCTTAAATAAGTGCACTTTTTGTTTTTTTAGACTAAAAAATTGAGGTTGAAAATATAGATATTTGGGTTAATTTTTTGACTTTTTATGGAAAAATGTGTAATAAAAAATTGTAAAAATTGATTTATGAGGAAAAATTCAAATTGGGAGTTGTGCAGCTGTAATTGTTGACTTTTGAAATAGTGTTAACTTTTTAACTTTTTGAATAACTTTTAAACTTTTTGACTTTTCTACAAGTTTCCAAACTTGGCCTTATCATTAATGATTTGATAGTGGTGTCACCTACTGTCATTATATGTGTTTGTGCCTGTTTGTTTTTTTTGTTACTTTTCCACCTCATTAGTGGTGGGTTTAGAGTCACTAAGGGCTAGTTTGGCATGTACTAAATAAGTCAAAAAGTCAAAAAGTCACTATCTTATTTAAGTCACATCATATCATCTTATTTAAATCACATCACCTCTCTAACACATCACATCAAACCCAATCCAAACCCAACCCAAACCCACCAATAAGTCAAAAAGTGTACTTTTTTAGGACATCCCAAACCAACCCTAAATTAATGGCTCTCTAGCATGATTGAGGCCTCGTTTGGGAACATGCTAATTTAGTAATTTTTTAGCTATTTGACTAAAATATGAGTTAAAAAAAATTAGTATGTTTGGGATGACTTTTTAGTTTTTTACGAAAAGATGTGCAAAAAGTAGAGAAAAAAAAGAATCTTTGACTTTTTGGCTAATATAGTAACTTTTTAGCTTTTTGGCTAAAAAGGATGGTTCCCAAACGAAGCCTGAGTTACGTGATTAAAAAGGTTAAAAAAATAATTTTTAGCTGAGTTGAGCTGTCAAAACAACCTGTATACAAATGAAAAACTTTTAGGAGTTGTTTGGCATATGTAATTTTAGCACTTTTTTATATTTTTAAAATCTGAATTACATTATTTTTTATTTGGGTGACATCATCTTTCTATCACATTGTATATTTTTATGTAAAAAATCTAATTATTGTTATTTAGATCATTTCAAAAAATCTCGTGCTATAATTTTTCCATTTTTTTGGTTATGATTCATATTATGGTGATGGTTGTGATATTTGACTATGACTTGGGTCATTTGAGAATTGACTATTTTAATAAATTTTTTACCAGAAGATGGGTAAAAGTAGAGATGAGTGGTTCGAGTTTTTGTCTATTTTAGGCTTCGTTTGGGAACATGCTAATTTAATAACTTTTTGACTATTTGGTTAAAATATGAGCTAAAAAAAATTAGTATGTTTGGGATGACTTTTTGACTTTTTACGAAAAAATTTGCAAAAAGTAAAGAGAAAAGAGAATCTTTGACTTTTTGGTATGGGTTGTTGACTTTTTGACTAATTTAGGCCTCGTTTGGGAACAGACTAATTTAGTAACTTTTTGGCTATTTGGCTAAAAAGGTAGGTAAAAAAAACTTGTATGTTTGGGATGACTTTTTGGCTAATTACGAAAAGATGTGCAAAAAGTAGAGAGAAAAGAGAATCTTTGACTTTTTGGTATGGGTTATTGGCTTTTTGGCTAATTTAGTAACTTTTTGGCTAATTGGCTAAAATAGCCTCTTGCCAAATGAAGGGTTCGCAAACAAGTCAAAAAGTTTCACCTATGTTTATTATTTTAGTTATGATTGAAAATATTTTGATTGTTCCCTAAGATCATCTCCAACCCTGAACCAAACTTGGTATCAAATTTAAAATTTGGTGAAAAAAGTACTTTTTTATGCTCCAACGGTTTCACAAAATTGATATCAAATCGAGATTTCAGCAAACGTGTCACCAAAATAAGGACAGGCTCCGCATTTCACCAAAACAGGCATGATCGTTCTGGAGACCAACCGGTCGATCACCAAATGGTTCCAACAGTTCCAAAAAAAAAAGGTTCAAACAGTTTTTAAAAAAAAAAAAAAAATTCGCTTTACCGGTCGACCACTAAACGGTTCAAACAGTTCAAAAAAATTGGTTCAAACAGTTCAGAAAAAAAAAAAAATTCATCTTACCGGTTAAACCGGTTGTCTCCGGAGCAGATTTGATAAAATGTGAAACGTCGGAGCCAGTGGTATCAAATTGAGGAAAACATCCTTTTTTACATCAGATTTGATGAAAAAAGAAGTTCAGGGTTGGAAATGCTCTAACGGGTGTTTGAGAAGCTTGCAACAAGTTGCCAAAGTTGCCCTTTTGTCTTTTTTAGTCTATTTTGTCTATTTGTGGATAAAAAATTTGAGAGGTGATGTGACTCAAAATAGATAAAAAGTTAAAAATTGGCTTTTTTGGTGCTTTTCAAAAGACCCCAGTATATGATTGTTCCCTAAAAAGTGTTTGATTATGACTTTTGATTATAACACATTGTGATGTGGTTATGATACTTACGGCTGTAATTTTGGTCTTGGCTGCAATTTTGGTTATGATTTGAAAAAGTTTTTGGTTATGCTATTTAGTTATGAATGATCCATTAAATTATAACCGGCAGTGATTTGGTTATGACATTTTGTGGTATTTTGCGTATAATGCACTCGTTTTTGAGGGTTGTATATTGTAGCATTGTATTGTGGCATTAACCTATATATGTATTAAGAAAAAGTACTCTATTTGAGCGTTGGGTAAATTCAGTACCCCCCCTTGAGGTAGATTTAGAGAAAATACATGACCTCTTATATGAGGTTGACATAATTACACTTAATTTAAATTTAGAGATCACTTTTTTCATTAATAATTTATTAGTTATGTGAATAAAAAAAATTGATTTCATATTTTATATGATAAAATGTATGACCTAGATGTCATATTTTTGGTCGTTTGTCTTTATGAAATTGACATCTGTATTATTGTGCTAAATTTATAATTATTTTTTGGGTCCTCTAAACTTCAAAGGCGGTCAAAATAATTTACCCTTGAGTTTTTTATTGGAAAATTCTAATGATTACCGTTTTGTAATTTGTCTTCTGTGTCAATTTGGTTCTTCCTGTTCCAATTGTATAAATTTTGTTTTTTAATTTTTGTCATTGTGTCAGTATTGTCTAATTGATATTATATGTTAAGAAATTAGACAAAAATTAAAAATAATTTATTATTATTTTTTTTTTATAAAAACTTACCATTTTAAATTGAATGTCAACCCTTCACTCACTTTGAAAAGATTGAATTGACTACTGTTTGCAGTTCGATTTAGAAACATATATTATTATCAATTGGACTAAATGGACATAATTTAAAAAATTGATGTGTAAAGTTGAGCGTTCAGAACTTGGACTAAATTGACATAGGAGGCAAACAACAAGGATTATGTGTGTAATTTGTCATAAAAAAATATATAAAAATCTGTTAAAAAAAAAATGAATTGTAAAGGGTCATATGTGTATGTTGATAAGGGATTATGTGTGTATGTTGATTTTTATCAATAAAATTCGTTTTGTTGATCTTAAGAAAAAAGAAGAAAGTAGATGCCTATATAGTTCTAATCTCTATGCATTTGAAGAATTTTATTTTTTTTATACATTTAAAAAAAAAAAATCTTTGTAGCATTGTTGTTTTGGTGGTGCTACTTGGTGCAGGTTGTTGGGGGTTCTTTTTTCTGTTTCTATTTTATTTTGGAATTTTGTATTAGTGTTTGCCATAGGTTACTTCTTGCAGCTTATGTTCAGAAATCGCTTAAATAATTCGGAAAAAGTGGATTAAATTTTGGGAAGCTGGAGAAATACTTACTTTTGAAATGATTTAGCTTGTTAGTTTTTAACTTGCAATAAACTTGGTATAGTGCTAAGAAATGATTGGGCTTGTGTCTCGGTTCCAACATAATTGGGATGGTTATGCTTTACTTTGATGCTCTTTGCACTTGCCTCTTTTTATTGATGTTAGTTGTTGTATTTGTATGCTTGCACTTCATCAATTAAGTTCTTTTTCTCTTGCGGAGCGGGAAAAAAAAAGAAAAAAACCCTTATGTTTTGCTATTCTTTGTTATCCAAAGATGTGAGAGTATGCTATAGTGCAGTGATCTGTGTTCTGTGTTTTATTTCTACAAATGCTATAAAAAGTGTTTTGGCTTATTGTAGTCCATAATAACATGATGAATTTGAGATACATACCTAGTGAATTATTTGTGATCTGTACAGATGAAGGTGCTGTATCATCGGATGAGGATTTCAGTGGAGGAGAGATGGAAGGACATGAGGCAGAAATGAGGGGTGAAGACCGAGAGCTTAAAGATAGACTCTTACGTAAATATGGTAATCATATTGGTAGCCTGAAGCGGGAATTCTCAAAGAAGAAGAAGAAAGGAAAGCTGCCGAAAGAGGCAAGGCATACATTACTTGAGTGGTGGAATTTGCACTACAGATGGCCTTACCCAACAGTAAGTATCCTTTCTAAGTATATTATGATTTTATGCATATATATGCCTATAAACCGTTGCATTTGTTTCCTTAACTAGTGATATTGAAACTATGTTTATGAGGCATTTTGGGATAAGGCGATGAATCTGTTGTGACATGCCGTAGGGACGTTTTATCCATTCAATCAATTTTGGAGGTTTTAGTTGGTTTAAATATATGATTCAGTTCAGTGAGATGCAAGCTCTACTATTGTAGAACATGGAGAGATGTTGTCCTCAAAGGTCTTACATGATGAGGTATTTGCTAATTCAGTGGGATCGTATTGAGGGAGAAGGGTTAGAACAGTATGCTGTTCTTGGAGTGGCCAAAAAAAAAAAGAAGGGGGAAATGAAAAGAGAGTTCTTGCCTAAAAGATAGGAAAATGAGTGGGAGCACTAATTAGTGCTACCACTAATGATGTGGCAGTAGGCCCCGCCATGAATGATTTGATGTTTTGGTCTTAGTGTTGTATTTTTTTTCTTTTTTTATTGAATGTCATGTCATTAGTAGTCTTTTTAGAGCTCCAAAATTAGTGGTCTCTATCATTGTTGTAAAAGATAATAGCCACAGTAGTAAAAGAAGGGGAAAAGAAGGGAGAGAGAAGGGGAAAAGAAGGGAGAGAGAGAGAGAGAATATTTATCAGTATGTGTACACACACAAAGAAATTGGAAGGGTGTACCAAATTCCAAATAAAATTGGGTTAAATCTGAGGAAGGCTGCATCATATAAAATGTGAGTGGGGTGAGCCTTTTTTTATTTTAGTACTTTTTTTAAAAAATATTTTTATCTCTTGAAATTAACTCTTGCTATTACATTATATATTCCATGACTCTGCTTCGAATCCAATGCTAAGAAATATGACCTAATCATTGGTGAAGTATTTTTGCTATCTTATGGTTTAGCACCCTCTTTTTTTGTTGTTTTACATATGCTAATTGCATTGTGTAATCTGTATGGAGGAACCCCATGGGTTATCAATTTTAAGTATATCATCACTTTGTGCTTTTTCTTAAATATTATACAGGAAGCAGATAAAATATTGCTGGCGGAATCTACTGGGTTGGATCAGAAGCAAATTAACAATTGGTTTATAAATCAACGGAAGCGTCATTGGAAGCCATCGGAGAACATGCAATTAGCAGTGATGGATAATCTTTCATCAGGACAATTCTTTACAGACGACTGAGCTAAGTGCATGTATATATTCTTCAGATGTAATGTTGGTAATTTGATGATCATGTTTGGTTAATGTATATTCTGACACTGTCGTTGACGTTGGATTGCTTATATTCTGAAATAAGGGGAAAAAAAAAATTGACTATTTTACTTTGTTCACATTTATTATCTACAAGCAGGGGGAACGGATGGTTATTGGTTTATGGCTTTTTATTATCGACTTTGAACTAGAAAAATGTTACACCAAAGAGGCCCGTTATTTTGCTTAATGATTCATCATATCTATAATTCGATTCTCATCATATCTATAGAGACAATGCTACGTAGTTTAAATTTTGTGGCTCAAATGGCCAAACCGACGTGGTTTTGAATAGAGAACAACATAAAAATGGCCAAAACGACGTTTTGGCCATTTGAGCCACTTTTGAGCCACAAAATTTGAGCTACGGGACATTTTCCTATATATATATACAGCAATGCTAGGTATTATAAAAAATCTTTCATGAAAATAATCATGAAAGTTTTGTCACCCTTGGATTGCACTTAGAATAAAGCACAACACACTAATCAAGGTAATCCAAGAATCATAAATTTTTCATGATCATTTTTATGAAAAAATTTTTGTGATCTTTAATTTTTCTCATATATGAAGAGTTTAATTATATGAAGAGTTTAATTACGAACTACTTACTGGGCAACTAGGAAGGGGCATTGTCGGGCCGGCTTCTCATTACTCATGTTTTCTAATTTTCTCCTGCCTGTCTTTTCTTTGTGGTCAATTTTTACTTCTAATTTTTGAGCTGCACCAGACCACGTGATTGATGTGGCGAACCGTTCTTTGTGAATACAAAGTGGGTGTTTGGGAAGTGAATTTTTATGTAAGTTTTTATAATTGTAGGATATTATTAAAGAAATTTTTTTGTGTTTGGAAAGATAGTTGAGTTTTTTTTGTAGTTAGATGTGATGTTTGTGAGAGAGAAAGGGAAATGATTATGAGATTTGATGTGATATTTTGTTTGGATTTATTTTTTTTTGATTTTGCAAAAAAAATTGTTTTTTAGTGAAAAAAATAAAAAAAAAATTATTGCCAAATACTTGTGTATGTTTCCATCTGTTTTTCCTTCACGGTAATTGAGGGATTGATGGGAGATTTTAGGGAGGTATAAAACCGTGTAACCATACTACCCGTGTAACCATACTACCCGTGTTTGGATTTATAAAACCGTGTAACCATACTACCCGTGTAACCATAAAGAGAAGGGATGTAGTGAATGCTGATCTATAAATGTCTCTTTAATTTTTATTGTAAAACACGTAACATTGGTCACTTATTTCATAATGTTTAAAAAATCAAAATACAAAAAATATTTAAATATTATAATGTTTATGTCAGTATTGGTGTAAATTTGTTAAATATAACATTTTAGCTAGCTAACTAAAAATTAGATTTTATTCAACTTTGTGCAAGTTGTTTGATTCCACCGTCTACTTAATTTGGAAATTTTGTTATTTACACCAACAGCTGAAATGTTATATTTAACAAATTTGTCCAGAGTAAGCATCGTTAAGGGGATAGTTAAAAAAGGTTTGTTAGATATTTTAGTCAATGTAACTCTAATTTTGAGCTCTAATGGACTGGCTATTAGGCTAGTTATTTTGCTATTCTACTTTTTTAGTGGCTACAATTGAAGAGCCTCAGAGACTCTCAAAACAAATATGTATGTATATATCTTGAATTTTTGTATATTTATGTCATGGATTTGGAATTTTATATATTTTATATATGTATATGTGTACGTAGTAATTTTATATATTATTTCAATTCTGTTTGATGAATTACTAAGTAACTTATTTTGTATTTTTTTTTCCTCATTCTACAGGTTTGGTATGCTTGTATAAGCAAATTTATTATTATTGCAAATTTATATTAGAAAAATATCAATAATTAGTGTTTTTTGTTTTAAAAATTAATTAAGTTAGTTTGAATGATTAGCTAAAATAAGTAGTGTGGTTGGAGAACACAATAACTAAAGTAATTAGGTAAAATAAAGCGTATTTTTTTCGTACTTTAGCTAGTGAAAAGTAAAGAGTATGGTTAAAGATTTCGCTAAATTAAAGGCTTATTTGGAAATTGACTATTTTAGTGGACTTTTTATGAAAAGGCATACCAAAAAAAAATAAAAATAAAAAATAAATAAAAAATAGAATGATGTTATTGCATGTTTTGGATTTTGATTATTTTAGCCAGAGAGTCTCACCTCAAACGGGGCCTGCCCAAACAAGTCCAAGGGATGAGCGGGTTGGGCTACATATTGGGCCAAGTTCACATTCAAATTATATTACAGTCTCCAGCTTCCTGTCCTGGGCCCACTGTTTGGTCTGAAACAATGTACACAAAGGTACAGCCCAGCCTAACTGGGTCTAAACTACGAGTCCATTGCTTAAACATGGGGATGGTAAATTATTGATAGGCTAGATTTGTGTAAATCAATAAGATAAGCTAAGATTCATAAAAATAGAGTAAAATTTACTATTGATGAGTTGTAATATTTGCAATGTAACTTTGTTAGATTCAGTATACTTGAAAATTGAAAGAGATGTCTATATACTTGATTCAGTTACCTTTATGAATTCCATTCCATTGTCTTTGTCTGTCTGTATATCAGCTCAAATTCAATTACCAATATAGCACAATATCCAATCCATGCTTTAGTCATCTAAAATCTCAAATGTCCAGTTGCATATCAGATTGATGTCTTCCTCAATTCAAGTTCTCAACTTCTAGATCTTTCCCTTGGGATTTCGGAGAATTTGTTTGATGAAATTTCCAATTTCAGCCCCTTTAAGTGTCACCTGGCGTAGAACGAACTATGTGAGACGGTGGCAATTGAAGCAGAATTGTCACCATTGGGGGGATAACATGGGCTCTCGCTTGTGTCGTTAAGTTCCATAGTCTTTTCGTCTATGAATGGAGGATTAGAGGGTGGAGGAAGGTGTTCATTCTTCTTTGCCAGCATCTGTAGTGCCTTAGACATTGATGGTCGTAAAGATGGAGCCTCTTGGGTGCACAAAAGACCTATATGTACAACTCTCAAAACCTCATTCTTAATGTTGCTTCCATGGTAATAGTTATGCAATGTTAGGTTCGGATCAAAAAGTTCCTCCACCTTTCCTTGTTGGAAATGCTTCCATGCCTGTTTCAGTTAAAATTAAGCTAAGATTTATTGCTTGTATTCAACTTGATACTCAACAGTTACTGATGATTTTCAATAAAATTTTGCCTTCCACACCCCCCCCCCCCATCAAAACGGCCAAAACGTTTCTGGTTGCTAACAAATTGAAACAAAACATTAGTGAAATATCGAAATTCGACCAAAACATACTGCGACAGACCGAAACACTAGAAAACATATTGAAACAATGAGTTTTTGACACTTACTAAGATTACTTAACATTGCTCATTTCTGTTTCTCTTTTCGTTAGAAAAAAAAAAAAAAAAAAAAAAAAAATGAAAAATGGGAAAGAGAGATAGAGAGAGAAAAAAAAAAAAATCAAGAATAAAGAAAAGTAATAAATTTATTAGAGAATTCGAGAAACTAGATAGGAGAGGAGAAGAGGTAAAGAGGAAAAGATAAGAACAAGCATAATTAAATCACTTTCTTTTTCTTTTCTTTTTGTTCCCAACATTTTAAACATTCTTAATTTTTTTTTTTTTTTTCATTTTCTTTATGATTCTGAAACACTTCCGAAACATTTATGATGTGTTTGGTTGGGGGATTTGGAAAGAAATTTGGAAAAAGAAAGGGAAAAAATATGTGAAACTATGTGAAATGTAAGTATATTTTATTCACATTTTACCTTTCTTTTCTATTTCCCTTTCCAAATGGTTTTCCAAATCTCCCAACCAAACACAGTGTTATTAAATATTTCCATTTCCAAGTTAACCGAAACCACTATACTGAAACAAAATTTTGATCCTTGTTGAACTTACAATTGTGACTAGGCTGTCCAAGTATTCGGCATTTTTGCTCTTGTTGTTTTGCCTTCCCGTGACTATCTCTAACAAAAGAACGCCAAAACTGTATACATCTGCCTTTTCTGTCAACTGCCCATGAGCTAGGTACTCTGGTGCCATATATCCCCTGTGAATATGTGAAGATAACACATTTGGTAATTATTCAAGCAAATCTTAAGGTCCATTTTCTTGATTTGGGTTTTGATACAAGTTGATTAACAGACCTTTAGCCTAAAAATTTGGTGAACAATTCAAACTTCTAGTACTACTCAATCAATAAAAACAAAAGAATTCTTACAGTGTTCCTGCGATTGCGGTGCTAATATGACTCATATCTTCTTGGAAAGACCTCGCCAACCCGAAATCAGCGATTCTAGCACGCAGCCTCGAGTCCAACAATATGTTACTAGCTTTTATGTCTCTGTGAATGATCCGAGTCTTGTTGTTTTCATGCAGGTACACCAGACCTTCCGCTGTCCCAATTATTATTTCGTATCTCTTCTCCCAACTCAGTGCTTTACCTCTCTCCGAATCTATCAAAGTTTATTTAGACATATATTTTTAAAATGCATCGATGTGATCTCACAATTCAATCTCTGGTTCAGGTACTTACTGAAGATGAAGCGATCAAGACTCTTGTTTGGCAGAAACTCATAGACAAGAAGGCTTTCGGGTCCTGAACAACTGCATCCTAATAACCTGACTAGATTTTTGTGTTCTACACTGCTGATTATGTTGACTTCATTGTAGAAATCTGCTGCTCTGTGTCTGTTGTTAAAGAAAAGCCTCTTCACTGCAATCTCTCTTCCATCGGGTAAAACTCCCTGCAACACAGCATATCATTGAACTACTGAGAAAGAAAACGGCTGCTATAAGATCGTTGATTTGGGTGTATTTTTTACACGATACCTTGTAAACTGTTCCAAATCCTCCGTGACCAAGCTTGTTGGCTTCATCAAATGATCCGGTGGCTTTCTCAAGTGTGGAGTATTTGAAATTTAAGCTACTGTCATGAAGGGTCTTCACCAATTTCTCTGCATCATTTGATCCTGTGGAGTAAAAGAAGGAAATGAGGAAATTTGAAGAGACACCAATCTACATAAGAATATGGCAAAATCTTGTTAAGATTGGCTATTCTAACAACAATTCAAAATTTTTCATGCAAATTGTGGTCAAATTTGTAATTCCAATGATTTTTGTACTATCTAGGATTAGATAGCTGTTGACTATTATTTATTTATTTTTTGTCTGGACAAACTGTTGTATGTTTTATATGTCAATGTTCTTGCAATTCACGATTCGATACAAGTTTCAATTATCACAATTCATGTTTCTTAAATTTAGTGAATTATACAATTCAATTGTGATTTGCTACTATTCACTGCAATTCAGCTATGTTTGCATAATGCATTAATAAAATTAAATGTTATGATTTAGATTTTGATACAATTCACGATTCATTATTTTAGCAAAATAATTCGCGATTCGACAACAATGTGCTAGTAAGAATAACACACAAGAAACTTGTACCTCTTCTCTTCTTCTGAATTGCTCTGTGCTTCCAAATGTAAGCTCCAATAATACCCCCAACCACCAAAACTACAATAGAACTCACAACTGCAACTACTACAACTATTACTGTCCCTGCAAAAATTCATCAACAAAAGACCAAGATCAATTTAATTTCATCAACATAGACAGAAATTGTTATTTCTTTTAACCAAGAAAACCATATAAATTTTGTATTGAGAAAAATATGAAAAATGTTGCTTCACAACATTCTTTTTACCTCTTGAACTTCCATTTCCCAGTTCCGGATTCAAGAAATCCACATCAGAATACCTCATGAAACAACCGGTATTCAATGCCCGCCCCTCCGACCAAGGCAAGCATCCCAATATCTCCTGAGATGCATTCTCCAAACACGCTTTGCAAGCGTTCACATTCACTGTCTTCCAACAATCTGCCAGCACATAAGCCGACTCATTTTTAGTCCCTGACACTGCAACCTTGGCTCGAGCATACCCATTATTGTTCTGTGCATTTGACACTGCTTGTATCAAAGCCTGCTTCGCAGAGTCCTCAAATGTCGTGCTTTTTTGCGTTTTATTCCCACAAAACGCCCTGTCTTGCGGCCCTGTAAACTCATCAAAGAAGCTGTAATTCTCTGCTCTCATGAAGCATCCATCAAGGAAAATCCGACCCCCATTGGCAGGAAAACACTGGGGAAGAACAGTACGTGCCTCGGCGTAGCATAATACACAGTCTAGTGATGAAAGATCACCATAGCATTGGGCTAGGCCATAGTTTGTGTCGAGTCCTGAACCTGTAACAGCTATTCCAAATCCGGAATTTCTCATCTGTACACTAATGTTTTCCATCGTTGCAACGAAGTTTGGAACGTAGATTGTTGCGTTGTGCTCGGTTTGGTTCCCACACATGATTTGAACTGTCTGGGCTCTCGGCTCTCCCAGCGATGGATCGAGCAAAAGAAGAATCACGGTGAAAATAGAAAGAAGGCATGGTATTGGATCAGATGGGATAGGTTTCTTCATTTTTGGGGATGAACTGAGACTTGTTTTGTTGGCTCTGAATTTGGATTTCAGGCTGTGGTATAATGAAATTCAGGAGAGTATTAGTATGTGGCAATGAGAAGTGAAATTAAAGCAATGTAAATACAAGAAAAGGAAAAAGAATATGGTTTTAGGAAAGGAAAATGCTATGAAATCCAAATAAATTATCAAATTTTTTATCAAATCTCTCATACACAAATCACATGTGTATGGGTATGAAAGGTTTGGTAAAAAATTTGATAATTTATTTCAAATCCCTAGTATAACTCTTTGGAAAAAGAAACAAATGCATTCGCATTAACTGAAAAACCAATTCACATTGAATCTTAGGCCTTAGTGGAGTTTTTTTTTTTTTAAAATTAAAAGTTAATAATTAGAAAGCAGAAACTAAAAGTATTTTTACTCCAACTTTTAAATAATCAAATTTTTTCAGTTTACTTAAATTATTTTTACCTAATAAGTTATAAGCAGAAACTGTACTAAACACTCTGTTACAAACTCTCAAATCAAAATAAGTTATAATCACTCTAAAAACTTGCAACAAATAGTCCCTTTAGTACCCATGGGATAAATCAGACTTCTTACCTTGAATCTTTCATACGGATTTCACTTTAGTCCCATCTTTTAACTACAAAAATTATATTCTCAAAATTCAACTTGTGCTTCAATTTGATCCTTCCTCACTTACTAATAAAATTTTGAACAGAAAGCGCTCACATGAGCACATTTAAGACTCTATAGAAAAGAAATTATATGGAAATTTTCACCCACTATCTTTGCTTGGTCTCTTGTATTTCAATTTTACTCAAATTTTAAATCGTGGGGTGACTGCAAGTCACATTGAAACGCATTGAAATATGTGACTTTAATTGTTATAATTTATTAGAAGGCGAAACATCAGAGTAAAATTTAAGTGAAAATTTAAAAATAAAAAAACAATTTACGTCCAATATTTGTCACAATGCATGAAAAATGCTTGGCACCTCTAATTTAGAGGTACCACTAGTGATTGCCACTGTCAGTCATGTGTCTTGATTATTTATTTATTTATTTTTTTTTCCCCTTTTCCACCTCATTAGAGGTGTGTTTTTAGAAATCTCTAGCATTGTTGCACGATGCATACTATCTTGAAAAACTACAAATCCTTAGGCCTCGTTTGGGAACAGGCTAATTCAGTAACTTTTTAGTTATTTGACTAAAATATGAGTTAAAAAAGACTAATATGTTTGTGATGACTTTTTAACTTTTTACGAAAAGATGTGTAAAAAGTAAAGAAAAAAAAGAATCTTTAACTTTTTTGTATGAAATGTTAGTTTTTTTTACTTTTTTAGTAACTTTTTAATTTTTTAGCTAAATAGGCTGGTTCCCAAAGGGGACCTTAGTAAAGTGGTTGTCAAAAGTGGACATTTTTGGTTTAATATTGGCGTGATAATTATATTGACCTTGTAGTCTTTCTTTCTTCTTCTTCTTCTTCTTCTTCTTCTTTTTTTTTTTTTTTTTTTTGGATTTTGTTTTTTTTTTTTTTTTTTTTCAGCCAGTTGAAGATAGCAATTAAAGGAATAACCAATAATGCTACTTGACAAGGTTGAATAGAATGTGGGTGTGAACGCATTGAAAGGCATTGATTCTTTGATACCATGTTTGAATGGATGGGAATTGCAAAGTTCAAAAGAAGGCAGGACACAAGAAAGAGTGTCACAAACTAATATGAGTGCTAAATTAGTGCCTGATTAGAGTAGTTGTTTAGCAACCCCACAATAAATTATGAAGATATTATCAAAATGGCTCAGAAAAATGAAGGGTAGGGAGGGTGTATTATTGGGTTTTATGTCAAATCAAATATGGATTACACATTAACTTTTTAAAATAAATATGTAGTATTATTAAATTATAAAGACTCTTAGAAAAAATTACAAATGAGTAATATTTTTCTAAAATAATTATAGATTCATAAAAAGAATGTAGCCAATCATATTTAATGAAACTTAACGCTTGGTTTGATTTTAATTACATATTCATAAAAAAAAATTGACTTTAATCATTAAAGTTTGTAAAATTTACAGTCAATTATTATTATTTTTTTCAAACATACATTATTTGTTATTTCTATGGACTTTTATCAGATTCATGTGATGGGCCCACAACGATTGTTGGTTGATCAACATCAGACGGTTGGTAAAACAATTGACATTAGATTTCCTTTGAATGATTAGATGTCCAATTTGAATTGATTGATGATGTTGTGCTTAGGTTCCTTTTAGTTCACAAAAATTAAATAATTATTTTTTTAACATTTTATTTTAATTAATCAAATAGTGTCATATTTAAATTCGGGTTGGTGCTAAATTTAAATGCCTATCCTTTATTAAAATTCAAAAGATAATGAGACCCACCTAATAAGCAGCTAGTTCAAAAAGTCAAAAGTTAATTTTTTTGTCTTTTTTTTTTCATTTGGGAAGTTGGTGTTTAGCCAACGGTAAAATTAAAATTTTACCCTCATGGGTCAAAATGTGTTACATAGGTAAAATCGTAAATATTTTAAATAAATGGGGGTAATTTGGTCATTTTATTATGATTTGACATTATAAACAAACATTAATCAAAAAAGTCAAAAGTCACTTTTTACCAACTTCTCAAATCATTTGTCTAAAAAAGCCAAAAGCTTGGTTAAAAGTCAAAAAGTCACTTTTTACCATCTTCCCAAAATAATAGCCCAAAACAGATGCGTAACTTCTTTTTTTCTTCCCCTAAAATAGAAAATATATTTTATTTATTTATTTTTTCAATAGAGTTTGGGAAAAGAATACTATTCACCCGGTTTAGTTTTGAATTTTCAAATATAATTTTTTGAATTTTCAATTCATATTTTTGTATTTTTAATGATTTTTTTAAAAAAAAATTTAATTTTTTTTCAATTTTAAGATCCAGTTAATCTTAATATACTTAAAAAGTAAAAAATTATACAAAAATCTTTAAAAAACTCATTGAATACAACAAATATGAAAATGTATTGAATTTTCATTTTTAAATTTTTTTTGTATTTGGTGAATTCATATTTTTACAAATATTATATTTTTTTAAGTATATTTAGATTAGTTGTATCTAAAAAATAAAAAATATTTGCTTAAAATATTAAAAAAATTAACTAGAAAAAAAAAAAACACAGTAAGGCCAAGTTTGGCAAGTTGAAAAAAAGTCAAAAAGTCAAAAAATTACTCAAAAAGTTAAAAAGTTATCACTATTCACCAAAAGTCAAAAATTACGGCTGCACAACTCCCAATCCTAATTTTCCCCTACACACTAATTTATACAATTTTTTAATACACATTTTTCCATAAAAAGTCAAAAAGTTAACCCAAACATCCATATTTTTTTCCGTAATTTTTTAGTCCAAAAAGACAAAAAGTACACTTATTTAGGACACCTCAAATAATCCTTAAATAAAAAACTAATTTCTAAAAAGTGAACCCAATTTCCTAAAACCAAACATGGTGATTAATCCTTATGTTTTTATTTAGAAGTAGACTTGTCTCTACAATTTTGGGATCGAGATACTTCATGCTCGTTCGTTGGCCCATACCGTTCAACTTCCATAGCTCACTGAGCAAATTATTATACAAAAAATAAGATTATGTTGAATGGCTTGTTCCATAGTTACTTGATTAGACTATGTCTCTTTTTAAAGGAAAAGAAATGATAAGTATTATTTTGAGAATATGTCAAAAAAATGTTGAATGGAACTTTCTAATAACATTCCTATCAGTTAATCTTTATGTTGAATGACTTGTTCGATAGCTACTTGATCAGACTATGTCTCTTTTTAAAGGAAAAGAAATGATAAGTATTATTTTGAGAATAGGCCAAAAAAATGTTGAATGAAACTTTCTAATAACATTCCCATAAGTTAATCTTTATGAAGGTTTGAAAAAATATATTAAGCCTCTATAAATTTGATACAATTATATTGAGTTTTATTAATATTTTAATTTATATAATATTTAATTTTTTGCCATTAGTAATTTCTTAGTTATATGAGTAAAAAATAATATTATATATTGTTTTTATATTAATATATAGGAAAATACTATATTAGGAGAAGGCTAAAGGATGTGTACTATATACATTTTATAACTACAGAAATAAATAACATAATTTCATACTTTCTGAGTCTTGACTACAAAAATAAAAAAAAAGTCATATCTAAATACAAAAAGTCATAACCAAAATTTCAAAATAATATCATAACTAAAGAAGAGATTTGGTTATAACTAAAGAAGAAAATAGCGTAATTAAGAGTGCATGTGATATGAAATGTGTATAATAGAATTCTCTTTCTTTTGTTTTTTGTCCATATGTTTGTACACTTATTTTCATTAATTTGGATTGTTTTAACTTTACTAAAAAAAATATCTGTATAATTATGTCAAACTAATTATCTTTTTTATATTCTTTATAAACCTCATGAATCTTCAATTTAATTTACCCTAGTTTTTTTTTTAAATATTTTTTCAAAAAACCTATATGAACCTGGATATTTATGACAAATTTTTTTTCCCGTAAAATCTAGCATTGAATTTTTTGATTAACATAGTAAAAAAAAAAAAATTTAAAAATTACTAAAAAAAAAATCAAACGTCTTAATAATTCATGATTTTCGATCAAGTTAAAAAAAAAAATAAATTCAAATACACTAATTTTTTTTCCCCCTATCTCGTAAAAAAATAAAAAACCGACTGAAAAAAGTCAATTCCTACCAAGGCTTCACTATCTAGATTTTTAGCATCCCCATATCTACCTGTGTCTTACCTAACATTTTTCTAATATAAAACTTTTTCCCTCTATGTATTTGTACTTATACAAACAACTACCATAAAAATTTTTCCACCTATGTACTTGTACTTATACAAACAACTACTGTAACAAATTGGAACAAATTTTTGTAATCTTTGAGCAGATTATATTACATCAATGAAAATGATAAAGATAGGAACGAAACAGCACAGTATAATCAATCAAACAGGGTAGAGAATTATAAATGTTGGCTTCAAAGTATTGAATTCACAACTATGGAATGATCAGAGAAAAATCTACTAATTCGGAGCTCCAAATTCATAAAAAGCAGCCATAATTCGCAAATCAATCAAAGAAATATATTTAGGTAGAGCACATCAAAGCAAAATCTAGTAATTCTAATAGATGATTAGAAACTAATTCAAAACTCTGTAAGAAAATCATTAAGAAAACCTGAGTTTTCGTAATAATTTGAGATCTGAAATCTTACCTGTTGTTTTCACATTGAATTGCCAAAATTCAAGCTCCAATCCAACTAAGATCTCTGCCTTCCAACACTGCAATTCTCATACATATACAAATATATATATATATATATATAGAGAGAGAGAGAGAGAGAGAGAGAGAGATGTCTGGAAGTGAAGGGGAAGTCAAAAGGCAAGAAGAAGGCATGCGAGTTTGCTGCATCAATTCGAATGAAGACTTTCGAAGCTGGCTTTTGGGTTAAAATGTATATAAATTTGAAAATGAAAGGGAAAAATATATATATATATATATACAAGGAAATGAAACGCGGGTTCGGCGTTTGACAGTCGCGTTGCGGCCAAATGAAATCCCAATTTTGCTTCGATCTTATTTCAACTGTTGTTGGTAATAGATTATTTTAATAATTTTTTTTGTTGAAGTAATATTTAAAAAATTAACCACTGTGTTTAATTTCAGTTTTTAGAATTTTCTTTTTAAAAAAATTTATTTTTTTTATTTGCTATATTTATTTGCTTTTACTGAATGCTTTTAATATTTTAAGGATTTTTTTTAATTTTTAAACATACCTAACATAAATATAATTAAAAAATATAATATTTGTGAAAAAAATATTTAAAAAATTCACAAAATATCCAAAACACAAAAAAAATATGAAAATTCAATATGTTTTTCATTTTTTACATATTTATTAAAATTTTAAAATATTTTTTCACAAATATCTTACTATTTAGATACATCTAAGTAAGGTACATTTAAAAAAGTAAAAAAATTATTTAAAATTTTAAAAATATTCGCTAAAAATAAAAAAATAGGAAAAATAAAAAATTCAAAACTCAATTTTCAGAAAATTAAATTAAAAAAACTGAAAATAAATACACTGCATATATTTAGTAATAATTTTTTAATTTTTTAAGAAAAAAAATATAATATTAAATTACATATTTGTCCTTTGAAAATGTTACATCAACTTTTGAAGGTATGATGTCAAAGGTTATTTGATATTTTTACCTATAAAAGGTTTCAGGGCAAGTTGGCTAAGACCATCTCCAACAGTTCATCAAACCTGATATCAAATTCAAAATTTGATGAAAAAGTCACTTTTTTGAGCTCCAACGGTTTCATCAAATCGATATCAAATCCAGAATTCAGCAAATCTTTACCAAAATGAGAACAGGCGAAGCATTTTACCAAATCACTGTTCTTAGCCGTTGGGAGAGACCAACCGGTCAACCAGCCAGTTGCCCGGTCGGTCAACCGCCTAAAGGTTCAAACGGTTCGAAGAAAAGGTTCAAACAGAAAAAAAAAAAAAATTTTTTTTTGCCTAACCGGCCGGTCGACCACAAAAAGGTTCAAAAAGTTAAAAAAAAAAAAAATCAAAAATTTTTTTTTTTTTCGCTTAACCGGTCGACCGGTCGACCAACCGGTTGTCCTCGGCACAAATTTGATGAAAGTGCACTGTTGGAGCGAGTGGTATCAAATTTGGTGAAATGGGTCATTTTTGACTCAGATTTGGTGAAAAATTTGAGTCACCGTTGGAGATGTTCTAATAGGATACTTGCCGGGTGTGGCCGGTTTAGTTTGCGATTTGAATTGGAAAAAATCATGATAAAGAAAGTGTTGGTTTGGCAACATTCCAGTTCCAAATTTTATAAGAAATATTGTTCTGGAAACAATTTACTTTTATTATCTAAAGCCCTTTTGTGGAAACAAGAAATCAAGAAATGTTAGATAAATGTGGTGTTTCTTGATACTGATGGATTTTGAAATATTTGTTAGAGATGGCTCATAACTTGTATTTTTCACTTTCAACTTGGAATTGCTTATACTCTAGAACTAACTTCTTTCAAAAAAAAAAATTCTCTTCTTGTAATGAGTAGAGATTGTTTATAATTGTACATTTTTATTTTAAGTTGTCTACTTGGATGGTAGTGAGATTCCTTTTAACTAAAGGAATTTATGGATGAGCTTGCAAGTTGCTAAATTGCTTATTTTTTAAAAGAGCAAAAATGTATCGACTTTCTTATTTTATTTTCCTTTTATTTTAGATGCTGATCAACTACCTGAAACTCTTTTTTTTTTCTTTTTTCTTTCTGTATCTTGGAATAATTTTCTTTGGGTTTCCTTTTATTGTAGGCAGAGTGCCTGATCAAATGGAAAAGGTAAAGAATCTGATTTTTATTTTTTATTTTTTTATGTAATTTGAAATTGTTTCATTTTCAAATCCCTTCTGTGGTCTGGTCATGTTGATGAATTGCCAGTACAAGTTATTTGGGCCGATGGAACGAGGAAGTTCTATTTACCAAGCACTTGACGTTGTTACCAATGAACTTGTTTGTTTGAGGCGGGAATGTTTTCTCAATAGAGAACAAGGTGTCCCAAGCTCAGTAATCAGAGAAATCTCCTTTATGAGAGAGATGCAGCATAGGAACATCCTCAGGTATGTACTCCCTAAATAGTCCAGTTGGTCTCGGAGAGGCAAATAACAAATTATATGATGTACGTTTGAAAAATAACAATCTCCTTTACATAATACAAAGTTGGCTTCTCAAATTTGAATCATCCGCTGTTTTTTTTTTTACCCTTTAGCTTTATTTTTAATATCTTGGATTTTGATGAAACATATTAATTGATGGAATTCTGGTCACAGGCTGCTAGATGTAGTGAACAAGGAGAGATCAGTGCATCTTGTTACGGAGCATGTGGAACTTGACCTGAGGAAGTTTATGGATACTTCTCCAGAGATTTTCAAGACGCCGAGCGTAACAAAAGTATGTGATGATTACTATCCATTTATGACTATTTTCAATGGCTTACAAGTTTAGTTGTTGCTTTACAAAAAATCTAATATATGATCATCCATATTGTTTACGGATAAATTTAGAACATGAAGTTGGAAGAATCTATGGATTTAGGTAACTGCTTAAATTTTGTTATAATGCAAATTTAGAAATGACGAAAACTGGAAACAATACAATTAATGAAATGACGAACACAATGGAATTGTTTAATGCCATGCAACAATGCAAGATGATCTAATTTTCCAAGAAAAATCTACATTGCCTAATTAATGTCATCTTAGTGTTCCTATGTTAGAATTCTATGCTAGTGTTTCTATGTAATGATTCATTTTCTTCTTCTTTTTTTTATTTTTTATTTTTTTCTTGGCAGGATTTTCTGCATCAGATTCTAAGTGGTCTCGATTATTGTCATTCGCATAACATTCTCCACCGAGGTTTGAATCCTGGGAGTTTGATGTTAGATCATCGTAGTCGAAGCACAGTGAAGATAGCTGGCTTTGGATCAGCCAGGACATTTGGTGTTCCCGCTAACGCGTATACTGAAGGGGGCAAGGTACAAATTTTTGAAAAAAAATTCCCATTCTCTTTTTACAACATTATTAAGTGGGATTTGGCTTCCCTCCAGTCCACGATCGCGGACTCGGAGGTGCTGTTGGGCTTGTGAGAGTTTATCACGGGTCTCGTTTTGATAATCTGAATCGTTCAATGTATAGAACTCATCGAATACTATATGCCTATAAAAAAATTACGTTGATTGGATATCGATAGCTGCGTGATCAAGTCAGTTTTATATATATATAAAAATAGACGGTGAAAAAAAAACGGTTGATAGAAATCTGATTCGATATTGATATTCGATCAACATTATTTTTTGTAGGCATATAGTACTCGACGAGTTCTACACATTGAACTGTTCGGATTATCGAAATGGGACCCGTAGTGGGTCCCCCACGAACCCAACAAAAGCCAATCGCTATTCTATGTTTTGGTTTGAGTTTTCTGAATTAAGTTTTTTGAAAATTGAATTTTTTATTTTTCGTGTTTTTTTGTTTTATTGAATACTTTTTAAAACTTTAAGTATTTTTTTACTTTTTTAGATGCATCTTACTTAGATGTGTCTAAAAAGTGAAATATTTTTAAAAATTAATAAATACACAAAAATACGAAAAATATACTAAATTTTTATATTTTTGGTATTTACCGAATTTTTTAAAGATTTTTTCACAAAAATTATACTTTTTAAGTGAATTTATGTTAGATGTGTCTAAAAATTAAAAAAACTACTTAAAATATTTTTAAAAACTCAGTAAAAACAAAAAAAAAATTCGAAAAATAAGAAAGTAGAATTTTTTGAAAAGTATTTTTAGAAAACTCAAACCAAGCAAAGTGATTTATTGTAAGAAACGTATGCTTATATGAATTTTCAGTATGGTCTTAATCTATTTTATTCATCTCTTGAAATTAATACCCAAGATTTATTTTAGTGCCTGGAATATATGTGTACATGTTTTAACACCAATCCAAGGTTTTAAAAAGTGACCGCAACGGTTGTGGTAATTACTGCAACCTGTTATGGCCGTTATAGCAGTATGACGGAAATTCACATATGTAACGGCCGTTTCGGTGTTATGTAATGGCCGTAGCAGTACCGTAACGGCCATAGCAACCCGCTAGATACCGTTACACATTTTTATAATATTCTGAATAGCTTCATTTTTCTAAAAGCGAAAACAAAAGCTCACAAAAAAAATAACAAATACTCAAGTGATCCAAACTCAAAGAGAAAATCTTATATGAATTTTTTTTTTTATAATTTATAATCCTTTCATTTAATAACTGTGAAATTTTTTTATTCAGTTAGTTAATTTGTAGACATTTAAAATCAATTATTCTTAAAATTATTAACTATTGAAATAAAATGTAAAAAACTCCTTTTATAGTGATTTGAAAATATGAAATATATTGGATCATACTTAAAAATTAATCAAAATTTATTTTAAACCCTAATAAATGTGATTCTGGAAAAAAAAAAATGCATATCGGTAAATATCTTCAAATTGTGCGAAAAATAAAATAAAAATCACAGTTTCGATTACCGCAACCGTTATGCTACGGCCTTTACACCCCGTAACCGCTATCGTGTCACCGCAACCGTTACAGCGGCCTCAACCGTTTTTTAAAACCATGCACCCATCTGAATTTGGGTTATTCATCTCTTGAAATTTCCTTTAAGACATATATCTACGCACATTTTGAAAACGTGCACAAATGTTAAAATTTATTCAATTTGTCCTGAATTTTATGCTAGCCTAGCCATGAGTGATTTTTTTTACATGTTCTCATATTGATAGTAGTTCACTTTCAGCTTCAAGTGGAAACTCCATGGTACAGGGCACCCGAACTCATGCTTGGTGAGCTGAATTACTCCTCACCAGTTGATGTGTGGTCTGTGGGTTGTCTATTTGCTGAGATGGTGACTCAACAGCCTCTGTTTGCTACTACGTCACAGGTTGAACAACTGCGGAGAATTTTCAGGTGCTATCTAGTTTTCACAAGACACACTGATGATTATTCTTGGCATTTTAATTTTTAACTTAGTAGTGGTGTAATAATCCTAATTACATAGTCTTTTGAATATGAAGCATTATGGGCAAGCCAACTGAAGAAACCTGGCCTGGAGTGACTTCATTATGTCCATATCTAGAAAATTTTGCCGTGAATGAACCCAAGGTAGTACAGGGCATTCATAGTTCAGTTTTTATTTGTCCCGGTCTTTAATTTTGAATATGAAATATGTTTTTTCCTCTGCGATGCAGAACCTGGCTGATGAAGTGCCTGGTCTTGAACCAGATGGAGTTGATCTTCTTTCTGTATGCCTCTCTCTCTCTCTCTCTCTCTCTCTAGTATTCTTTGGAGACTGATGACAATAATATTTCATCCAATGTTGGCCCTGTCCGATGCAGCTTTTGGGGCTCCGCTTACAGCTTATTTATATTTTTTGAAAAATCTGTGTCAGACTGTGCAGCTTCTGCTTACAACTCAAGAGCCCGAAATAGTCTAAAAAATAGAAAAAATTCACTATTATTGATTACGAGTAAGTTGCACTGAACAGGTCCGTCATTTCATATGGGAGCAAGTTAATATTGTACAAATTAAATTGTCCTGTAGAATATATTGATTATTGATTAAATGATGAAAAGAAAATGAAAAATCCACATCTTTCAAGTACACCACTAGATCTTTATTTTATTTTATTTTTTTGGTTTGGATTGCTAACACCCGGGTTTGTCATGTATTCAGGAAATGCTGTGCTTGAATCCAGGAGATAGAATTACTGCTTCTGAGGCTCTAACTCACCCATACTTTACAATATGTGATTCTGGATCATCATCACCATCACCACCACCACCACCACCACTACCATTATCGTCATTACCACCATCATCATCATCATGATTCTGTGTCATATTGACAATGTGCAGTGTTTTTGTATGTTTTACTTTGAGAAAGAATGTATATGCTTTCATTCATTCTGTACATTACTTTCTCTCTCTCTCTCTCTCCCTCTCTCTCCCTCTCCCATCTTTCTAGATCGGCCTCTGAAGAATACTTTTTCTGCACTTTTACTTGTAGATCAGCATTACTTTGTCTGCAATATATCTTTTAATGGGCTCTTTTGCTTCTGTTCTCTTCAATTGGAAAGAAATAAACAGTTTGATATTGTTGGTTGATTTAGACCCAACGACCTGATAATGCTCCGTTTGTTTTGGTAAATACTTATTTGGATTTTTTATTTCCTCCCCCCCCCCTCCCTTTTCCATTTGAGCTAGGTTTACCTGTCTTCGATAACAAAAAAGTTACAACGGGAAGCCCATGAATTGAATTAATAATGTAAAGTTGTCGCTTCGTAAAATTTTTTTTAATTGGCATTTTGAAATTGAGACTAAAAAATTTGTTTGAGTTGATTTTTTTTATTTTTTTTATTTTTGTGGGAGAAAAAAGTTACATAAACGATTATAGTTTGAATGTAACATTTTGTCTTATTGATTTATTTAGTCTATTTTGTCTTTTGCATTTTTTTAGCCCCAACTAGATAGCCAAACGAGGCCAAAGATAGATATAGTGGTTGTTTGGGATGTGCTATATAAGTGTATTTTTTGATGTTTTAGTTAAAAAAGTAGAGAAAAAAATATGTATGTTTAGGATAACTTTTTGAATTTTTACGAAAAGATATGTAATAAAATATTGTAATAAAATCAAAATGACCATTTCACCCTTTTGACTTTTGACTTTTTGAATAGTTGAATTCAAAAGGCAAAATTTTGCCCTAGTGGTTTCCCCAACAAGCTACCTTTGAATAGTATAGGATTTTCAATTTTTTTAATAACTTTTTGACTTTTTGTCTTTTATTAATTTATCCCAAACAACCCATAATCTTTGGAAATGTGTAAATTAAACCAAACCAAGTGTAAGTGCTATTAAATGAGATCGATTATATGAATCCTTCTTTGAAAATGTGTATAAGTATATATTGATTATTCGTGATAACCACGTGTAAATGTTTTTTATTTATTTATTTATTTATTCTTTCTAACGGATGTTAACAATTTTGGTGATATTAAAAATTGATTTTAAATATAAAAGTTAATTCTTACAATTAAAAACATAAAAATTAAATAAAAGTTGATATAAAGTATAAGAGTGTAAAATATAAGAGTAAATAATATTTTACCTTTAGAGTCAATAAACGACACTCGGTCTATAAATTTATATTTATTTATTTTTTTAAAAGTCTACACTCTAAAACATTATGGATCAATTTGAGAACGTGACTTTTAATTTATTTTAGATCATATCACCTCTTTACTTTTTTACATATTTTTTCAAAAAAAATTAAAAAGTCAATTTTTAACCAACTTTTCAAAACAAGAAACGGCTATAAGGCCAAACTCTAGTAAAATGACCAAGATATCCCCTATCAAACCCCTTCTTATCTCTGTTTCTCACTCTTAATCCTCCACAACTCAAATCTCTCCTTCTACCTCTCCCTATCTCTCCTCTGTCGCCTCCGACAGCAATGCCTCCACCGCTGCGCTACCTCCTACGGGGCTGAAGACGCGATGTTGAAAATGTACCCGTCTTCACCATCTTTGTACCTTTCTCGGGTGACGAAGACGACGCCAATGATCTGAGATGTGAGGGCTCCAGAATTTGATTCAACAGATCTTGAATCTGGTGGATCTCCTCTCTCTCTCTCTCTCTCTCTCTTAGATCTATCTCACATTCACCACCTCTTGCTGGTAATCAACCTCTCTCTCCCTTTCCCTCTCTCTCTCTCTATATATATTTATATATATGATGAAACATGAGGGTTTGGAACACAAGGAATGATCAAAATCATCATTTCCTTGAACAATAATTTGATTAAGATTTGAATTTGATGGATTTCGATAACAATATACTTCTCTTAACTAGTAGAGTATGACTGCTAATTCTTGCACTCTGCAAGTATCCAACTAATTTCAATAGTATCCTAACTTGTGAGACCCTTTGATTATAGTTCTTTCACATTTCAGTCAAGAAAGATATTCAATTTTACCAAATCTCCTTTCTTTTATTATAAAAGAAAAAAGAAAAAAGAAAAACATATTGTATAAAAAGAGCATCAAAAGGGATGTTGCTTTAGAAATCAAGTTTTCCATTGCTTTTTTTACTCCAAAAATCTCAGCAATTTAAACAGATAAAAAATTGAACAAATAGTTTTAAACAGATAAGTGAAAAAATTGAATAGATAATAAAATTTGGACAGATATTTGAACAAATAAGAAGAAAAGTGGAGAGAATGATCTAGAAAATCACTTTTTAAGTTGCTGAATTCGCACAGTCCGCTTGAGTGCCACTTTCTGTGCTCGAGCGCACTTGCTTCCA